TGTATACCACAATAAATAAAAGCATGGAATCAATAATCGAGCTGCTTAAAGGCCAAGAGAAATGGTTCACTGAATTTCAAGGAACGTTGAATACAATAACTGTTGGAGTGTCGAGTTTGCAGGGGCAAATGTCGGCGCTGCAACATAAGTTTGATAAATTTGAAAATATTCCAACTAATAAAGGCGAAGAGATAGGAGTAGATGATCCCTAGCCAGCCTCCCCTCATGGGTGGAGTCCTCATGATTTTGTTACCCAACATTCAACTTCTGTTGATATTACCCTGCATACAACATCTGTTGGAGAAGAGGGAATCCAGCCGTCAGCTGTTGTGGAAGAAGGAACCCCTGTTGAAAGAGATAAAGTTGAACGGTCTGTTGCCATCTTAATGCAGAGGGTTAAGGGCAGACGGAGTAGAAGAAAGAAGACAGTGAGTTCACCTTTCACTGCCTTCGAACTGAAGAGAAGAAAAACAACAGGTAAAGTCGATGAGCCAATGATACCCGAGGAAGATGCTGTTGTACATACCACCACCATAGTAGAAGAACAACAAATTACTGAAGAACCAATAATAGACCCTGTAGCAAAGATGGGTCTTCAAATAAATTTATTTGTTGGTGTACATACGAACCCCAATGTAGAGGGACAACATAGACTTGAAGATGAAGAAGTAGAAGGATCACATGTCCTAACACTAACAACTCCAGAAGATTAGTCAGATGTTGTTAATGTGTTATTTGGAATTTGTTTTTGATACATTGTCTTATATCATCTAAATTACCTGTGTATTTCAGATGAGCAAGTAATGTGACAATTTTTTTTGTAGCCTCTTCCAGCTGTCCCCCAGATCGACTATCTTGGCAGATCTATGGTATCAGCTGAAACATAGACAGTGATCGATCAAGTCATGGCAAAATACATCAATGAGTGAGTGAATCTGTGTCTTTTATAATGAACTTCTTTTAGGATTAAGTGAATGAAGACAATTTCTTTATTATATTTAGAATTTGTACTATTATGTAGGAGTGATATTATATTGCACTTAAAAGATATTTTTATAGATCGTCGGGCAATGATAGAGTTATTGTGCAATGTCATGATTGCAAATGACCATGTCGACACTCAAGCGATGATTTTGAGCAACAAGAGGAATGCAAATCCATCTCTTTTTAGACCTTACATTTATGTATCGTCACTATACTGGGTAAGACCGCATCTAAATATCTAAACAACCATATTTAATTATATTAAGAATTTCAACAACAATATGAATGTGTTAACACTTTATTTTATTGTACAGGCTTATCATAAAATAGGTAACCCCACATCATTTGTGGGTCATATCACCAAAGAAGCAGTTCTGAAAGCTGATATCATTATGATTCCTGTTCTGAATAACCAACACTAGGATTTATTGGTTGGTGGAAAATGTATGATTAATTACCCAACCAGATGCACAAAGCCGTGTGCAACGACTAATTTACTCTCAATTATTAAAAATATTATTTCTGCAATTTTCACCAGTTTATTACATTCACTGATCACTATTTTACTGTGTAGATCACTCGTTTTGGCATTGATGTCGAAGCTTCTTTCAGGGCTAAACCCGGGAAATGGAAAATTACACTGGTTAGAGGTGTTCCCGTATAAACCAACAGTGTTGATTGTGGAATGTTTGTCTGTAAATTTATGCAAAAATTAGTACAAAGCTATAAACATGATTGACGTGAAGATATGAGCTGGTAGACCGAAATGCCAAAATTTAGGGCAGAGCTTGCCCAAGATATTACTTTGTGGCAAGATATTTGTTTGTTGGTACAAAACCGTAATCAGGAGACTTATTATTGTCGTATTATTCTGTTATGTTATTCTTGTATTTCTTTGTTATAGTATTATTGTCATATTATTGTGGAATTGTTGCAGTATTATTGTAGTCTTAGTCATTTTATTATAGTATTCCTGAATTATTAATTGCAATGATCGTTGTAGTATTATTATTGTTTTATTACAGTATTCTTGAATGATTAGTTGCAATGATCGTTTTAGTATTATTGTCGTTTTATTGTAGTATTCCTGAATGATTAGTTGCAATAATCGTTGTAGTATTATAGTCATTTTATTATAGTATTCCTGAATTATTAATTGCAATGATCGTTGTAGTATTATTATTGTTTTATTACAGTATTCTTGAATGATTAGTTGCAATGATCGTTTTAGTATTATTGTCGTTTTATTGTAGTATTCCTGAATGATTAGTTGCAATAATCGTTGTAGTATTATTGTCGTTTTATTGTAGTATTCCTGAATGATTAGTTGCAATAATCATTGTAGTATTCTTGCAATGATCGTTGTAGTATTATTGTCGTTTTATTAGAGTATATCTGTATTATTAGATGCAATAATCGTTGTAGTATTATTATCGTATTATTGCATTATTATTGTAGTATTATCGTCGTATTATTGTGTTATGTTATTCTTGTATTTCTTTGTTATAATATTATTGTCGTATTATTGTGGTATTGTTGCAGTATTATTGTAGTATTATTGTCTAAAATATTTTAATCAAACCGCAATAGTTTGGTTGTATTGCGGTAGTACTTCGGTTGTATATATAGTTCTGTAATCAAATAAAGATATATTCCTCCGCCAGCGCGCGTATATATTTTGGTTATATTGCGGTAATACTCCGAAAATATTTTAGTATTATTCAACACAAACTAGAGATAAAATTAAGATAAATTCTCAAAATATTTTAAATCCCACGGATCTTATTCAAATGCTATTTAATCATTCGTAGATGTT